ATTGGCTGGTCTCGCAATTTTCTAAAATTGGAAGGTAATTTATAATCCTTTCTCTTAGCATTGAATAATTGTTCCCAAGCATCCAACTGCCTCTTTTTTGCTTGAGATCTCATATTTCATTTAGCGTAGTATTCTCCTGGAGCTTTGTTAATTTTATTCCTACGAATCTGCCACTACTCCAGTACATTGACTAGCTTTCGTTCAAGTTTTATTTTTTGGAAATTCATTCGACCATTGTTTTCTTAGCTAACCAACTGACTAGTCTTCAGTCTTATAGTTTCGCGTGCTCGTGCTGCCTATTAAGAATCACTCCAAGCACTAATGTGGTTTATTTTGCCCACCACGCTTTTTGTAACATTTGAGAGGTATGTTTCTATATTGCCAAATATCTTCTCAATCTAAAATTAATTTGCTTACTTTGATTTTATATATGGATTACTATCATACGTGAGCTAGTTAAGACAAGCTTAGGCTACCGTTATTCGCCCTTTTTTTAGAAAGGGTTTATTTAATAGCTAATGGAGAGCTATACTATCAAGCCAGATAAAGCCTCCAAATTTGGTGGCTTATCACAGCATTCATAAGCTGTTTCGCCTTTTGCAGGGTCTTTGGAGCGCCTTCTTGAGGTTGGGACTGCTGCAGGAGTTACAGCCCTTGATGATCGTCGTCCTGTAAAGTCAAGGACCCAAAAACTCTTAAGTGACATAAACGAGGTTGAACAACTTCCTTTGGGTTTTCGTCTGGCCACAACAGCAAATACCCGTACCACGTTGGCTTGTTTACTAGCTAAACTTTGGGACGATTTAATTCTCGACAAAGAACGTCAGCAGGTTATATCCACGATCGGCGATTTCTTGTTGTAGGTAGAAAATTCTTGTTAATTTTTAAAAACTAAATTATCTGCCAATGTTTTAAAATGATGCATTATCCATTTGTATTGATTGTTGCCATTTTTATTTAGTGGACTTGGACGGATATCTGTTTATAAATCAGCCATTGCAATTTTTCGCACCTCTTTTAATTAGGGATCTTCTTTCGGATTCTTATATCGAAAGTAAGCTGGAAGCAGCTTCTCTTTTGGGTGTACTTTTTACTGGCCCTTTCGAACTCGGCACTTCTATGATCTCTCGTGAGGGTATTTTTGAAGGACTTCTACTTCTTACCCAGTCCGAAAATCCCCTTTATCAGGCAAGGTTGAAATTGTTTATATTGCATTATTGAGATATTTCATTTTCTAGTTTTG